AGTATGAAGGTCCTGCCAGCTACGCTCTTACGAAAGAAGAGAAAGAAATCTTCTTTGAATGCCTGCTCAGTATGAAGGTCCCGACTGGCTTCTCATCAAATATAAAGGGAATAATAAATATGCCAGAGAAAAAGTTCCAGAACCTAAAGTCTCATGACTGCCACGTGATTATGACGCAACTGCTTCCGGTTGCATTGAGGGGGCTTCTACCAAAAAACGTCCGATTAGCCATTGTGAAGCTATGTGCATTCCTCAGTGCAATCTCTCAGAAGGTGATCGATCCAGAAATCATACCAAGGCTAAGGAGTGATGTGGCGCAATGTCTTGTTAGTTTCGAGCTGGTGTTCCCACCATCCTTCTTCAATATCATGACGCACGTCCTAGTTCATCTAGTCGATGAGATTGTCATTCTGGGGCGCGTATTTCTACATAATATGTTCCCCCTAGAGAGGTTCATGGGAGTCCTAAAGAAATATGTCCGTAACCGCGCTAGGCTAGAAGGAAGCATCTCCATGGGCCATCAAACTGAGGATGTCATCGGGTTTTGTGTTGACTTCATTCCTAGCCTTAAGAAGATAGGTCTCCCTAAATTGCGGTATGAGCGGAGACTGACTGGAAAAGGCACGCTTGGAAGGGACTCAATAATATGCAGGGACGAATATTCTTGGTCTCAAGCACACTACACAGTTCTATAGAACTCTACCTTGGTGACCCCGTATGTCGATGAACACAAGAACAGTCTGCGCTCCAAACACCCAGAGCAGTGCGACGACTGGATTACATGTGAACACATCAGGACTTTCAGCAGTTGGTTGGAAACACGTCTCAGAGGTGACAACACTGTTTGTGATGAGCTGTACTTGTTGTCCAGGGGACCATCTTTGACTGTATTGATTTACAAAGGATACGAGATAAATGGGAATACATTTTACACGATTGACCAAGATCAAAAGAGCACCAACCAAAACAGCGATGTCCGCTTTGATGCAACAACCGAGAGGGGAAAGGACACATATTATGGTTACATAGTGGACATATGGGAACTTGACTACAGTTATGATTTTAAGGTCTCTTTGTTTAAGTGCAAATGGGTCAATCTGTCAGGAGGCGGGGTACAGGTAGACCCAAAGTACAGAATGACAACAGTGGATCTGAAAAATCTTGGGTACACTGATGAACCGTTCGTCCTAGCCAATGATGTGGCACAGGTTATCTATGTGAAGTACATGTCTACCAGACCGAGAAAAAGAAAAGATAAGGAAGCGAATACATCATACGATGAGTCAAAGCGCCACATAGTTCTTTTAGGAAAAAAGGGACATCATGGGAGTGGAGGGCAAGACAGACATGTCTGAAGATTATGAAAAGTTTCATGAAATTTCTCCCTCCAAAGTCAAGGCTGACCCAATCATCCTGATAAACGATGAATATTATCCATGGTTACGGCGCAATAAGCAAATGACACAAGCGAAGAAAAAAATGAAGACTTTCTCCCGCAACTATTATGATGATACCATGCCAACTTTGTAACAGACGAGTATGATACCATTGTCCATTTTGTACATGCACATGCTATGTGGGTGAAATTATGATACCATGCCAACTTTCAACATTTTCAGAGTTCATTTGAAATGCTTTAATATCTTATGGTTCGGCCCTCGTAATACCATTAATCCCGGTTCGCTCCTTGTCAACTATGTTCTCACCAAGAACACTCAAGAGGGCAGCCACGTGGGCCATTGGTCCCGGTTCGTCTGGACCTTTTGGTCCCGGTTCCACGCACGAACCGGGACCAATGCGCCTGGCCCCTGGTCCATGACCTTTAGTCCCGGTTTGTGCCACAAACTGGGACTAAAGGGTTGGTCCTCGTTGCGGTCAGAGTTTAGTCCCACCTCGCCAACCGAAGGGCGCTCACATCAGTTTATAAGTCCGTTCCTCTCTGCCTTGTTGAGCTCCTCTCAAAGTGAAAATAGATGCCCCTATACAGGGAATTTGACCTAAATTCATAGTGAATTTCTCTGAAATTCATAGAAATTTACTAGGAATTTAGGTTGAATTTTCTCTATAAGCGCATCTATTCTCATTTTTAGTAAAGTTAATCACAAACTTGTGATTCACACAAATTTTAAAGAATTCAAATTTGAAAACTAATGGCACTAACAGAAAGTTTATAATTTTTCTAAAACTAATGGAACTAACAGAAAGTTTATAATTTTGCTGACCTAAAAGCAAAAAGAATTAAAAAATAAAGCAAAAAACAAAAGAAAATAAATAATGCAAAAAACAAAACAAAAAATGAAAAAAACTATTTTTATAGTAAAGTTAATCACAAACTTGTGATTCACACAAATTTCAAAGAATTCAAATTTTAACTATTCAAATTTGAAAACTAATGGCACTAACAGAAAGTTTATATTTTTTCTAAAACTAAAAGCAAAAAGAATTAAAAATAAAGCAAAAAAAGAAAATAAATAATGCAGAAAACAAAACAAAAAAATTGGAAAAAAATAAAAATAGCTACAATAAGTATTTTGTTGTAAGTAGAAACAAAATAAAATAAATAAAGCAACAAAGAAAACAAAAAACAAAAAAATATTTTCAAATTTGAAAACTAATTGCACTAACAGAAAGTTTATAATTTTTCTAAAAGTAAAAGCAAAAAGAATTAAAAATAAAACAAAAAAAGAAAATAAATAATGCAGAAAACAAAACAAAAAAATTGGAAAATATAAAAATAGCAACAATAAATATTTTGTTGTAAGTAGAAACAAAATGACCCGTATAATTCTGACGGTTTTTATAGTTTTTGGTCTTTTTCCAGGCCTGAACAGGTCGGCCTGCCCGTAAATTTTGTAGGGAAATAGAATCACAAAAAGAATAGAAGATGTTCACCTATTTTGTGATCAATGAATCATGCTCATGAAACTTAATAAATACTACACATGCTTTTATAAAAATGTCCATATATTTAGGAAAAATATATTCATGGATTAAAAAAATTCTTATGACTTAAAAAAATGCTTATGCAATTTAATAAAAATCTTTGCACAATTTTATTGTTTTTTATTTTTTTAAACATTTATGTGTATTTTGTAACAAAAACAAAAACAAAATAAAACTAAAAAAGTAATGTTTTAAAAAGGAAGGGGAAATAGGAAGAGATAATAAAAGAAATAGAAAAAAGTCATAAAATAGAGAAATAAAAAAAATAAAACAGCATGGAAAATATAATTGCAAATAAAACTCAAGGAAAATAAAATGAAAAAACATGCCAAAAAATTTTGCGGGAAATCGCATTTGCCTTCCGTTGTTGGGTCAAGAAAACCAATAAAACTGGGATTTAAAAAAGTCACATGAAACTGCATCTTTCTAATCGGAGCACAAGAAGCGAGCGCGGTGTGTATGTAGCAATAGGTTTGATATATTGCCTTTGCGGGCCGTTACTAAGGCCCGTCTATAACTCGCTCCCCATAACGACTTTTCACCGCAGATAACCATGAGTTGACAAATTAAGCCAGTACGGTTAACTTTTGAGGAATGAATCAAGCAGTCACAGCTTGGTGCTATTTGATCGGGGCTACGGAACAAGCCAGTATGGTGTATTTGATCGGGGCTATCAAGGCTAGGCTGTGGAACGGCCTAATACGAACGGACGCTTCTCCATTGCTAATATCCACATTGCATATCATTGCTGAGCAGGTGCAGACAACCACTATCTACATTGCCTTTGTCGTCGATCTGTTCCATCCCCCAGAATTCAAAAGCACCTTCAGAATTTCAAAAGCGTGTTTTCAGCGGAATGTCTGAAGTCCCGACTGAATTGCGCAGTCTCTCAGCTAGGCAATTCGACAAAAAATATTCAAAACAGTGCAAACCAATGCTTCCTACTTAGAGGGGCAAACGTTTCACACCTCAGCCATGCATCGCGTTGCACTAATCTAAGTTCAGAAAAGATAGTACTCTACTGAAGAGCATTGCATTGCACTATCAAATTAATACTAGTCTATGGCAAAGCTGGTGTACTAGGCTACTAGCAGCTTCCGCAGTCTCCTAGATCTTCTTTCAGCTCCGTTGCTGCAGGGAACAGCTTCATACTTTCACACTAGATCTTCACCCACAGAGATAGCTGTTTCAAAATTTTGTTGAGCGCCTCTGCGGTAGTCCTCTTCTGCCCTTCGCGCAACTCGGCAACAACGACCTTCATCGCATTGCGCACATCTTCGCCGTGTTCACTCCGCAGCTGTGTCAGTTTATAATCATAGTCGTCGTCCACCCCTCCCTACAGCAGTCATGGTATATACAGCTATTACTGGTTTTGAAATCTAGTCAAGCAATCCTTCCAACAATGTAATCTGGCGATCCATCTCACATTCAGTGTGGCAAAACCTCAGGCCCAAGTTCAGAAACAAAACGAAGCGAAGTTCATCACTTCCATTCAAAGAATAAAATCATGCCAATTGCCAAAATGAAATCCATTGGTTAAATTGAAACGAAACCATGCCACGCAGGGCCAGACTCGAGTTCATGAATACATAAGTTACAGTACCACACACGCATGAGGTTCTGTGCAGCGAAGCCTTCTGACCCATATTCAGAAATAAGAAAAAGGAAATTTGATAGTACAGTATTTCCAGGGCACATGCCCAAAGGAAAACAGGGCAATTCCTTCACAAGCTCGCTACACATCCATCATGGTTTTTGCACATCTTCAGCATTGACAGGCTTCCAACATCGTCATCATGGTACTACGTCTGATGATTTGCCCGTCGAAGCGTACCACGCCATCAGTCCTCCACCACACGAAATGTATTATTCAGTTAATGTTTTCCTGTGGGCAAAGCAAGAATAAAATCACAACAAGTTGGTACAGTTGTACATGCTGAGATCTAGCATGAGCTACAATTTTGTAGGCTTGCACTAGTCACATACAGAACTGGGGTACAATTTGTCTAAATAAGAGGTGAGGTCAGTATGCAGTGTTCATATGTACCTTGCACCATCTAATGCCACGTGTAGACATCCAGGTCTTCACCATGAAGTCGCTGGTGCTGCTCTTGAAGCGCATGCACCCAGCGGGAAGAGACCTCTTGCATATCCTCGCCCAGCCACAGCTGTTGCAAACTGCCCAGCCCCTCTACATGGCTTAAGTTTGGACAACCACCTACACGCATCTCTGTCACTTGAGGGAGGTTGCAGATCCTCTCAAGGCCTTCACAATACCGAATAAGGACCTCAGAGAGGACTGGGCAACCTCTTAAATTGTTTAGTCCTCTTAAATTGAGTTCCTTCAAGCAGGGGGTGTCCTTTCCAAGCTGTTGCAGGAGATCCCTCAGCTTCGGGCAACCATGGAGGAACGATTTCACCAAACGAGGCAGCAATCGCAGCCTTGCAGATTGGGCATCCTCTTTTCGAATCTCAGCAGCTCCGTCCTCTCCCCTTACATCGGCAACAGCAACTTCTTCCTCAAAAAAAGACCACTCCTCCCAGTTGGGCATATCCATGAAGATCAGGCGTTCAAGTTTAGGGAAAGCAACCAAATCATTACATACAGGATTACCCTTCTTACAGCCAACAAATTCAGGCCCAACCTTGGTAACTGCATATGCTCCCTCAATTCTCAGAAATTTCAAGTTTGGTAGCTGCCCGATCGGTGGAAGATGCACATATGATCATACATCTATGAGTTTGAAGTATGTTAAGGAAGACAAACAGGTGGTACCAAACCCGGTAGGATACTGCTGACTAGAGAATCTAATAATAGTTAGGTCTTCCAGGTTAGGTGGAGGTATTAGCTGCTCAAAGACCTTCTCAGCATTGGTGAAATCTTCTTCTAAATATGTTCCCTCTCCACGTCCAGTCCACTTTAGTACTAGTTCTTTTAGATGCTTTTTGTCTGTCACCACTGCATTTGTACTGCAATGAGCAGCTCTTTCCAATTTAACAAGAGAAAGATACCTCATCTGCGACAGAGAAGACAACTCTTCCAACTTCCATCCATCTTGTATAACATCATTATCACTTCCATCACCAACAGGATAATCTTCTAAATAAGTGAGGAACTTCAGTTTCCCTATCCCTTTGGGAACCTGATTTATTTTTGTGCCTAAAAGAGTAAGACATCTTAAACTGCACAACAGGGTCATTGCCAAAGGAAGATTGTGCAGATCATCACACCATCTCAAGCTCAGTACTTGAAGGTTCTTTAGGGAGCCAATGGATTCCGGAAGACAAGATATGCCAATATAATCCAGATTAAGTAGATGTAGATGTATCAATTTTCCTATATAGCATGGGATGCTTCGTACAAGTGAGTAATTCAGTACCAAAACACGAAGAAGCAGAAATCTCTTGAACAATGTATCCTCAATTCTCCATGGACCCTTAACAGTTAGGAAAGTCCTCACCTTAACCTCCAGCTTATCCACTCTAGGTAACACTAACATATCCTTATTACTGACAGCAGTAACACGTCTAAGTTTTTGACATATTTCCATGCCTTAATGTTTCAACATCTCCAATAAAACATTCTTCTCTTGATATGTTACAAGCAAGTTGTCTTAAGAGGTCATGCATTCTGCAATCAGCCTGGTCAAAACTTACCATTTCTGGCTAGAGGAGATTCCGATGAATTAGCTCATAGTAGTACTCTTCTGCTATGTCTTCTATTACTTGAGCTTGCTGCTCCTCGATGAAGCCTTCAGCAATCAATAACCAGGTAACTTCCTCACGTCTAATGACAGAGTCTTCAACATACAAAGCACAATAAAGGAAGCACTGCTTCAAACGATGTGGTAACTCATCATAGCTTAGATTTTTTTTTTGAAAAGGGGGGACTCCCCGGCCTCTGCATCAGAAAGATGCATACAGCCACATTTAAAAATAAATAAACAAGTTCAACAGAGTCTTGCAGTATGCTCCAAAAAGAGAAACTGGCTCACAAAGAGCAACAAAAGCAAATAAGGCCCAAAAGCCACAACCGGCTGGCATAAGATAGATAGGTAAACTAGTCGCCTATCCTATTACATGACCGCCATCCAAACCGGTTGAAGATATCCCGCGCTACCATCTCCCACCGGAGAGATCCAGTAACCAAACGCTCCTTGGCCTCCGTCGGAGTGAGTAAGGACCACATACGGATTAGCGCAGTAGCCCGGAATAAAACCTGCAAAAAATGAATAGTTGTTGTTCTGTTAAAAGCCAAATCATTTCTGAAGTTCCAAATTGCCCATAACAACGCACACGCTCCTACGCGAATTTGTCTAGCTGTTTCGGACTCTATCCCAACAAGCCACGTTCCAAATAACGACCTGACCGAATTCGGAGGAGTAATGTTAAAGGCAACTTGCACCGAGCGCCATAAGACCTTCGCCAACGGGCAATCAAAGAAGAGGTGCTTGATATTTTCATCCCGATCACAGAAACTACACCTAGTAGATCCTGTCCAGTTTCTCTTAACCAAATTATCTTTCGCTAAGATGATACAAAGCTTCTTCTATTTCATCCAAGAGGATGCTCTGAGAGCCAATAAATCTGCCCAAATACCTTTTCCACTCATTCTCTGTTAGTTCTCTCTTTGACAAAGCACTAGCTGTAATCTTGATTGCAAGAGGGAGGCGACCGCATTTATGAACAATCTCAATCCCTGTTTTTCTTAAATTCTGCACTTCCTTTTCTTCGTCGATGTTCATGCTCTTCCAAAGTAGCTGCCATCCCACCTCTACTGCCATGAGATCAACTTGATGGGTATGGTCTACACCTATTCTCTTTGTAATTTCATCATCGCGTGTGGTTACTAGTATTATTCCCACAGTTGTTTCATGAAATGCAGGCCTTAGTAAATCTGTCCATACATTGAAATGCCACACATGAACGAGAAAGAAACTCTCACCTTTAATTGTTTCTATAAGCTTTCTCTGCAGTTCTGTTATGCTTTCACCTTGCTCATTATGCACACCAATATTCTGGAGGACCTCTTTCAAAAGAGTTACTTCAGTGTAGTCTTGTGAAACAGAAATCCATGTGTGTGCATCTTGAAGTTTCCTTTTATTTTCTGATTGTTGTATATTTTCTGAGCTAGTGTTGTCTTACCAACTCTTCCGGTTCAAGCACTAAGTCTACCAACTTCCTTGTAGAATGTATAATCTCCTTCCCCACAAGGTTGGAACTTCTTATCAGTTTGGATGTTGGACCATTTCGAGTAGGTTGTGTACTACTATTGAAAGTTGAAAATATCTTGTCATTTACAATGTTCTCAATCTTTTTGTTCAGGTTTCTAATCCGAACAGCAATATCACGGCGTGACACTATGTTGCAAAAACAAGAGGAAACTGAAAGGCCTTTACATGCAACGGATTTGCGTGATGATGGTGTGAAGGGTGGTCAGGAAGTAGCTTGCTTCCTTTACATATAGCCACATCCAGGATTTCATCAACATCATATATAACATCTCTCAGTTGACCAAGCCAATTCTTTACTGCTTGCTCTTTTGTCCTCCTTTTCTCAGCATCGTATATACAACACTGAATTAGTTCCACTCGTCGCAGCAGTTTTGTGAGCTCTTGTTCCACCCCTAGGATTAGTACAACCTCATCCTGGATGACATCTTTGTTGAAAATTCGCCAGAGGATCGATTACATCAAATCGCACGAACACACGCGGACAAAAAACTTAGATAGCCAAGGGCCCTTGTCGTGCCCTCTTTTCACTTTATTTCTTTTTCTCCTTTTCTCTGTTTTCTCTTGATACAAATCTCACGCACAAACCCATGTATATATAGGTGTAGCACCTGACTGAGGCCACCGACGCAGACTCCTTTTTCCTAACCTATACGAACTAGTACTAATACTAGGACACGACCAAAGCTAACTCCAATTCAAATCGATCTCATCTTTCCTAATCTACTTCCACACGTAGACTACTAGCACAAAGGCATCGGATACTTCCCTAACTAATCGCCGGCAAGCCTGATTACTTTCTAATCGGACAGAGCTTGCAACGCCCAATACTCACCTATGTTTGAATTATTCCAACAATCATCCCCTAATTCAAACATCCGACTTTTTAGTTTGAGTTTTGGTCGAGGTGAAACTGAATGTTGGATAACCCAAACATGCCTACGTGCTAGTAATGTTAATAAGTTGTGTTTGAGTTTTGTTTATCTAGGAAGTGATCAGCGTTGCCGTGTACTTAGATTAGGTAGATGAATTTGTGTCCGGCCAAGAGTAGTAGTACATGGCCGTGTCCTAGTTGTGCTGGACGTATAGCAGTAGTTTGAGTCAATTTAGAAATCATAAGTTGGGTCTGATTCCGTTCGGAGGTCTGGGTCGGTGGCCACCTGCACTTATATAAGTTTTGTATTGAGATATTGACAGAAATAAAAGAAAAGAACGGGCACGACACGTGCCCTTGGCCAAAACTTTTATGCGCGTGTGTTCGTGCGATTTGATGTGATCGATCCTGTGGGAGAATTTCCAACAATTGGTATCAGAGCAAGGTCAAGGTGAAACTGCGCTTGCCCCGGAGTGGTGACCTACTAGCGCCTCGGGGCGGGCAATACAGTCGCTGGTGTAGCGACAACAAGGAGCGGGCGATATAGTCGCTGGGATGCAGCGACGAGGAGGAGTAGGCAATTGTCATTCGAGCAACGACAAAGAGGATCGGGCAGTTGTTGTTCAGTGGAGCGGCGACAAGAAGGTGGCGAGGACACTGTCGTAAGCGAGGCGACAAGTGATGGTCGTTCTGCGGAACAACCTAGAGGAGGGCGACATGGCTGTCGTTAGCAAGACGTTGGTGATCATTGATGGTTATGGAGGTGCCGAAGTTGCGACACCAAGGAAATCATCAAGATCATCGTTGGAGGGTGCAAGGTGGAGATGACGAAGTTGCGAGCTGTCATCAAGGTGTGCACATAAGTTCTTGTAAGTTGCGTCCAAGATCTTAGGCGTGTGAGTCTTCTGCTGCAGTTGAGACGCATCACTGGCGGAGGAGAATTGAGAGTGAGAGCGGATGGATAAAGGAAATTGTGCCTTGCGTTTCCGTTCGTGATCAAGGAGTTCCGGCGAGTTCATATACGGTGAAGTTGAGTTGCACGTATATGGCGAGTTGTGTTGCCGCTGCACAGGAGGTGTTGTTTGCTAAGTTGTGTCACCAACGACAACGAGAAAGTGAAGATGTGGCGGGTGAAAAGATGTGTCTCCCCGTGCACAAGCAACCGACGAGAAGATGAAGATCAACACAAAGATGGACGTGCACCAGTTAAGTTGAGTTCCTGCATGAGGCTATGCGTTTAGTCTGCATGTAGCACGCTAAGATGTGAGAGCGTGGCTGGTAGTCCGGACAATCATTGGTTAAAGTCTATGAGTCGGTATGCAAACGAAGTTGCGGTGACGATGAAGTGGTGGCCATCGTTGCAATAAGAGAGAAGTTGTGGTCCGGTAAGTCGCGTCACCGGAGGCAATCGGCAGGATAAGATGAAGAGGTGATCGTCTGCGTGTCTCGCCGA